ACTCATTTCCTAAAAGAGAAAAAAAAGCGAAGAAAGAAAGAGAAAAGAAAGAGAAAGAAAGAAAAATAGAAAAGGAGGAGGAGAGAAGGAAAGGAAAGGAAAGAAGGAAGGAAGGAAGGAAGGAAGGAAGAAAGAAAGAAAGAAAGAAAGAAAGAAAGAAAGAAAGAAAGAAAGAAAGAAAGAAAGAAAGAAAGAAAGAAAGAAAGAAAGAAAGAAAGAAAGAAAGAAAGAAAGAAAGAAAGAAAGAAAGAAAGAAAGGAAGGAAGGAAGCAAGGAAGGAAGGAAGAAAGGAAGAAAGGAAAAAAGAATAGAAAAGAAAGAAAGGGTGGAAGAAAGAATGGGAGGAAGAAAGAAAGGAAGAAAGAGAAGTATAAATAAATACCGCAGCAGGTGTTAGATGTTAATAATGACCCTAAAAATTTTAGTTATAAATGCCATCATTTAATTCCCTGGGAAGAGAAATTTTATATCAAGCCTTGTTGTATGGACTTGGGACCCACGAAAGACAACCAGAGAACACGACTAATGCAAACAGCAAAGGAGACATTTATTTGCAAGCTCAAGCTTGGTCCTACGCACATCAGGTAACCGGTGACGTTAAGAGTCCCAGAGCACAAAATCAGCACAGCTTTTATAGTACTGAACAAAAAAGTTTAGGGAATTTCCACACAAGCAGTTACATGATTGGTTTGAGTCCACCCTAAATGCTCTGCCCTTTTTCTGAACTATTGGTTTATCCTGTTCCTGGAACACTTGGGCAACTGTTCTTCTTTCTTAAGGGTGGGCAGGGTTGGTGGCATCCTGTATTTTTTTCTCTGTCTTGGAGTTACTCTGCGGGCAGCTTAGCACAATATGGTGTGGTTAATCTCAAATTGGAGTTACTTTGGCTCTTCATTCTCTCCTCTTCTACAACATCGGGGACCAGTCATGGTCCCCTAATTGGCACAGTCTTCTATATTTACAGTTTGGTATTCCGATCTCAGAACTAATAGATGGACTGTGCTGATTGTTTTTACAAAGGACACCAGTCTACAAGGTCCGATTGTGAGTAAAAAAATTAACAGTAACAAAGGCCCTTACATTTTCTTCCAGCAATCCTGACTCCGTATACCACACCTAACTTACCTTTATACCAGCTGTACTCATAAGCTCCAATTTTAAGACATACTCACACCATTTGCTACATACTTAAACTTTCTGATATTTGTCTTCTTTACGAACATTTTAAGACAATTCTTACTTTTTAAATCCTTTCTTATCTAGAGGATACCAATTTTTCCCTAATTCCTTTCCGAAGTCTTCATTACACTCCTCTTCTTTACAATTCCTTGAGCTCCTTTGTGGCTAGAATTTAAAACTGCCCATTTTTCCTTCGACTTGTGGAACCAAGTTATCTCAGAAAGCTTCAAGGCACCAGTGGGATGAAAAGCTTACTAGATTTTAAGGCTAAGATTAGGGCTGGTTCTCATTCCTCCTCCTACTTCCATTGATTAAAAAAAAATCTCCTTTATCTTTAAAACACACCCAGGAGGAAGCAGGTTATTACCATACCAGAGCCAAACGAGGCTGTGACCCTGATGTACGTAAGGCAAGCCAGTGATATACTTGACCCCAATATCCACTGTGGGAATAGAGAGGTTACTGGATATCAACAAAAGAACGGCCAACAAGATCTTAGTATTAGCAGCGTTCAACCAGGAAGCATTTTCAGGTGATGGAATCAGGCAGGAGTTGAGATGACTTTTACCAGGGTGGGGGTGGTCTGGGTGATGATATAGATTTCCTCCAGGTGACTGTCAAGCTGTCATTGAACTTTACTCATTAGGGTGTGCAGCAGCAGAAGCAGCAGTAGCAGGGTCTCTCAGTGGCTCCAAGGGACTGTCACACCTCATGCTGGGCTGCAAATTCCTACACAGACTGGTTAAGGATACATTGCATAGGCTTGGCAGGCTATGACCCCACTAGTTTTTAAGACTATTTAGACAGTAGCCCAGGACAATTAACCAAGATAACAATTTTTTAAACGAGATAGTTCTTTTAATAAGGCTAGGATTTTCTAGGCAGATATAGAAGGCTCAGGCTTGTACTATTCTTTCCCATGTCTTTTCCTTCTGTCTATTTTGCCACATTTTTAAAAAAAGTGACTGTGGTCCCTTGTTCTTAAAAAGGGAAGATGAGCAAAGATTCATCTTCTGTCACTTCTTCAAGCTGACTCAGGAGTGTTGATCCTACCTAACCAGGAACCTATATCCTTAGCCTGTTTTACAAAGAGGTTACCAGTATTAGATGTCATTAAGAACAACATTTTAACTTTTGACAAATTCACAGATCTTTTTTCTGACTACAGCAGTGTAGATTATTTAGTCTTCTGGTTTGCAAAAGGATCTTTCTGGATGGCTTAGTAATGTGCTCTCTAGTAACCTAAGAATGTCTGAGTTACCTATGCAGGCCTTCAGACAGATATCAATAGAAACACCCTCTCAGGTTTACAAACTTTTTCCTGAGCAGATGAATTTCATGTAGCTGGAGTCAGCTCAAAAGTTACTGCCAATTAGAGCTTTGGGCACATACAGAGGTTGGGATCTAAACTATCCTCCACATTTTACAACCTTAGCTTTTTAGTACTATCACAGATGACTGACTAGTTCCTGTCCCTTACAAGGTAGATAGTCATAGACTATCTAGATATTGTCATTCTCACAAAATGTACATGATAAACTGCTCTGAGGATCTGTGCTCACTTCCCCCATTACCTTATTTTTCATCCTTGTGAACAACTTCAGCCTACTTTCCATAGGATAGCTTTGGTTTTGTTACTTACTGATAATGAAAGAAAAAGGATGTTTGTAAGAGAAAATGAACTTTTAGGTCACAGGTTAAAGTATCTTATCCGTCCCAATGATTCCTATGAGATAAAATTTATAATAGTACTAAAAGTGAAAAGGAATTCCTAGATCTGTTGTTTTGCCATTTAGAATGGAAAAGAATAATTTCACGGCACTCTTATAACTCTTAAAGAATGCAAGGGTAACTGATGGTCCCTATCATGTTCCCACAAAACCAGTGGATCCTGAAGGATAATAGTAGACCAGCAGATATTCTAAGAAGCAGACATGGAGCATGAAAGAGAATGAGAGGAAATGAGAGAGAGTGAAAGAGAGAGAGAAATATCATAATTCTTAAAGTGCATAACAGATTAACAAGAGCTGTATGAGAATATTCATATTGCTATCTTTAGACTCTACAGGTACATTTGAAGATATTTGATATATGATAACCCATCAACATAAAATATAAAGTGATTTTGATAAAAAAATAAAGATTACTCAGAAGAAATTATAAATGCAAAAACAATCTTCAGGGAAGCAAACTCTCAGAGATATTTCATGACTTTTAAAAGGACAAAGTGGCTGAAGTTAGTGTAAATTTAAAGATATTCATATATTTCATTATATAACCAAAAGCAGAAAGCAAATGTTTAGATGATTTTTTTAAATACAGTCTCTCAGGTGCTGGGTCGGTGGCTCAGTGGTAGAGTGCTTGCCTTGCATGCATGAGGTCCTTGGTTTGATTCCTCAGCATCACATGAGAAAAAGACAGAAGTGGTGCTGTGGCTCAAGTGGTAGCACTAACCTTGAGCTGAAGAGCTGAGGGACAGAATCCAGAAGCCAGAGTTCAAGCCCCACAACCAACAAAAGCAAAAACAAAAAACTAAGCAAAACACATTCTTCACTTTTGTGGCCTCAACTCTGTAATACTACTGATTCAGGCTAGGGCTAAGATTTTCGGTGTGAACATTTATCAACACTCCTGATTGAGACGCTACTTGAGAAAATTTTTAATCAATATTGTGTTAATTTTGCTCTTTGTAAATTCACATGCACCTGTAAAAAATGGTTTGGGCATTCCAGTAATATTCTCAAAGTACCTTGTAATGACGACTGACAAAAATTTGTATTATATTATAACAAGGAAAACAATGCCACAAATAAAGAAAAGCAATAATTAAATATTAATGATTAATAAAATAAAAACCAAATACCAATGTTTCCAGTATTTCAAGTGTACTACATATTAGATTTTACTATTTCTCATATTCCTGTACATTTAAAACTGGCTAAAATTATGTTGTTCAACAGGAGTTTTATAGGCTATGAGAAGTCTTTAAAATTACCCTTTAAGGTTATTATTTATGTCTGATCTCATAATTTATATATGGTTTATATCATCATTTGTTGCTCGCTAACATATAAAGAAAGGAAGCCCTAATGTTTTAACAGAAAGTTTGTAGTAAAAGTCTTAACTCTTTGCTCTGTTTCTTTACACAAAGACTTTGCAACTTCTCATTAGTAGCGTTTCTATAAACTCTGAAATGGACATACTTAGTAGTATATGTCTGCTACTATAAATCTTAAATACTTCATGGAAAAGATTTATGACCTGACAAAAAGTCTTAATTTTGGCATATATAAGCAAATTCCCAAAATTAAACATATTTAAAACATTAAATCTTTTTGGAGGGAGGTCCAGTCTTGAGTCCTGAACTCTGGGCCTGGGTATTATCCCTCAGCTATTCAGCTCAAGGCTTGCACTCTACCACTTGAGCCACAACAGCACCATGTCTGGCTTTTTTTCTGCTTATGTGGTGCTGAGGAATAGAACCCAGGGAATCATGCAAGCAAGGCAAGTGCTCTACCATTGATCAACCTTCCCAGCCCAAAACATTAAAACTTTTAACAAACATTAATATTTGCTGCAGTGTTCAATATGACAGGTGACTTGTATTGAATAACTGAATTCCTCTTGCTACAAATCTCTTGAACAACAAATATAAGGAATTATTTTGTTTTTGACATATCAATCTTGACTTTATTCTTAAATGTGTGCTTATGTAAGAAATATATGGTTCTAAAATTTCATGACAATACTTTTGAACTTATTTTTTGTTGAATTATCTAGTTTAAGAAAATCAATTCCACTTTATATATAAAAAATGTTCTGTGCTCAATTCGGTAGCACATACACTAAAATTGGAACAATACGCAGAAGATTAGCATAGCCCCTGGACAAAGATGTCACGCAAATTCGTGAAGCAGTCCATATTTTTACAACAGATGCTGGAGGGGATGTGGCCAGAGGGGAACCTTACTTCATTGCTGGTGGGAATGTAAACTTGTACAACCACTTTGGAAATCAGTATGGAGGTTCCTCAAAAGACTTCACATAGAGCTCCCCTATGACCCAGCAATCCCACTTTTGGGCATTTTCCCAAATCTTTACAAACAAGACCACACTAAAGCTACCAGCACGACTATGTTTATTGCAGCATTATTTACCATAGCTAAGATATGGAACCAGCCCAGATGCCCCTCAGTAGATGAATGGATCAAGAAAATGTGGTATATATACACAATGGAATTCTATGCCTCCATCAGAAAGAATGACATTGCCCCATTTGTTAGGAAATGGAAAAACTTGGAAAAAATTATATTAAGTGAAGCAAGCCAGGCCCAAACAAACATAGGTCCCATGGTTTCCCTTATTTGCAATATCTAGTATATGTATGAGTCAAGCGGAAAAGGTCAGATAATGTGATGTTAGGAAAATGAACCCTTAGATATGTATTTTAATGTTTTTTTTTCTTTCATGCATTTGTTTCTAACGCATGTATAATATTATCTCTTTGTAGCTTTGTATGTCCCCCCCCCCCCCACAGTATAACCCCTGCTTTCACTATATTTGATGTCAGTATAATTTGTAGAGGAGATGGGGATAAACAAGTCGTTTAAGGATACAGGTGGACCTGTTGAAACAATGAGAAGTACAAGTTGTCATGTTGAAAACGAGCTTTACAATGTTCTTGCGGGGGGGGGGGGGGGGGAGGCGGGGAGGATTTTGTGGGGTATTGCGGGGGAGGCTGGGAAGGGATGTGAAGGGAAAACAAAGGAAGAGGCTGCAATGCTTGATAAGAAATGTACGCATTAACCTGTCCATGTAATTGTAACCCCTCTGTACAATGTGTTCACAAAAAAATAAAAAACTCAAAATAACAACAAAAAAAAGATCTCTAAGAACATTTAGAGTGCAAGTAACTTCTCATTATCAAGGGAAACACAGGAAGCTCTTGAACATCTGACCTGTCACCAATAGAAGTCAGAGTGTCATAGATGTTCTAGCCCTGGCTGGCTTCATCCTGTGATCCTCAGACTTCAGCCTCCTGAGCTAGAGTGATGGGCATGAGCTACTGGTGCCCTGCTAGGTTCAGAACTGTAATAACATTGGCATTACAAGTCAACTGCTTATAACAAAGAGCTTGGGCAGCATATTAGGCCTTTCAACATTGGACCTTTCAGACACAAGATTATAATGCTAGAGTCTGAGAGGCTATGCATATGGATGGGCTACACTTGAATCTTGAGCTCTATCTCCAGTTCTGGTGTACATGAACATTCCTTTTTCCAGAGAATGTTCTCCTAATTAACAAATAGGAAAAGTAATTTGCTTAACCCTCACTTTTTTCCAGTTTTGTGTCTCAAACACAAGCCTGGGCACTGTCGCTGAGCCCTTCAGCTCAAGGCGAACACTCTACCACTTGACCCACAGCACCACATGTGGTCTTTTTGTGGTTCATTGGAGATAAGAGTCTAACATGTTTTCCTTGCCTAGGCTGTCTTTGAACTGTGATCTTCAGATCTCAGCCTTCTGAGAAGCTAAGGTTCCTGTTGTGAGCCACAGGCAACTGGCCTGCTGTTTTTGCCAGACCTGCAGCTTGAACTAAGGGCCTGGGTACTGTCTCTGAGCTCCTTTTTCTCAAGCTTAGCGCTCTACCACTTGAGCCATTCCACAGCTTCTGGCTTTTTCTGAGTATGTGGCACTGAGGATTCAAACCTTACCGTTCATGCATGCTGAGCCAGCTCTCTACCACTAAGCCACATTTCTAGCCCCACCCTTACAATTTTATCCCTCAACTTGCCTATCCCCAAGAAAAGGCTTCTGAGTAAAAATCATCTAAAGAAATTCCTATAGGAAGGTTCTAAAGATAAAGAAGACAAAGTTCATACTTGGGAGAAAAGCCTAAACATGTGAAGACTGTGACAAATGCTTCCATTTAATTATGTATCATGTTTCAACACTTAATAAAATATTAATGAAAAACGAGTCAATGTCTTAAATTATTGTGTATAAATTTATAATAGCTGTTCAACATGTACTAAATATTACGTGTATAATAATACTAAATACAATAAATAATAAGTAAATGAAAAGTAAAAAATAAAATAAATACAAAATCAATAATAAAAATTATAATATGTAATAAACATACATATGTAAATATATCATATATTACACATACATAGAAATATTTTTCCATTGCAGGGCCTTCATTCAGAAGCTGGCAACTCTAGCCTGAATTTCTTATCCTCAAGGACAGTGAGCTTTGCCTTTACCCATGATGCAAAAGAGTTACCTTGATGGTGAGATCAAATCACAGCAATGATGGAAATACTGGCCCCAGTTACAAGCCAGTGACTTAATTTTTTTAATGGAAGTAGCTTTGTTTATTCAGTTACGTGTTGAACATTAAAAAAAAGCACTGTAGAATTTTGCACATCTATCAGTCACCTTTCTCTTAACCCCAAAATGCTTGTCTGAGCACTACTATTTTTTCATTTTTTTATTGTAAAAATGTTGTACAGAGGGGTTACAGTTAAATGAGCATGGTAATGAGTACATTTCCTATTGAGCATTGTTGCCTCCTCCTTTGTTTTACCCCTACCATTCCTTCCCTCCCATCTCCAAAACTACTCCCCCGGCCAAGCTCAGTGACTTAATTTTTATTTTTGGATTTGCATGGGGTTTGAACTCAAGAAGTGGCAAATATGCACTTTCCCTCACATTGATACATATTTACCAAGACCATGAGTTCAAATTCCAGGCTAGGAAAAAAAAACTGGTAGAAATTCAAAACAAGGGAGATTTATTTCTTTTTTAATTTAGTTAAATATTAATTAATATTTTTATTTATTCTGTATTTTGCCAACATGGGGCTTGAACTCAGGTCATGGCAACTCTGCCTCAGCCTCAATCGCCCTAGGGTGGGGCATCCTCGGACACATAGCCAATCTAGGGATCCTCAGCCCAGAGGGCCTTCAGGAAGAAAAAAAAACGTAGCATAGCACAAAAAGTGGCAAGCTGCAGAGGGCTGAGGGTTTTCCGTTTTTTTCTTTGCACAGTGGCCATCCTGGGTCTGAATAACATGGCTGCAAAGTGGACCTGACCTGCCATATCTGAAGGCTGGCATGCTATCAGGGAATCCATAGGCCAACCTGTGAACATAGGTCCTGGGTTCAAATCCCAGTACTGACACTTACCAATAGCAGGAGATCACAAGAGACTCATTCCTATGCATAGGAACACCAATTGAAAGAGTAGTTCATGTTTCGATCTAGTCTAAAATTGGATGCAATAATCCTAGGACGCTGATTGATCTTAATTAATAAGTTATTATGCATGAAAAGAATAATATTCCTTCAATGGTGGTATAATAAATGCCTAAGAGTTGGTAGGAATGTCTTAGCTGTCATTCAATCATAGATAGATGGCTCTGGCATTCCTTTCTAATATATGTTTATTTGTATACCACCCTCTGCCTATCCATATATCACTGTTTTGGCCAAACCTGGAGCTGGATCTCAGCACCTGGGAACCACCTGACAGCTTCATTGGCTTGAGGCTGCCATGCTCACACTCATCCATTCATGAATTGGGCTTGCTAAACCCTGAGTTCACGTCCTAGCACTGCAAAAAATTTAATGTTGGAGTAAGAAGCCAAGTGTGACTCATGTTTTTCTTTTCTGTGAGAGCCCTGGGTGTCAGGCATGATGGAGAACATATTTACAAATCTGGATGCTGTGATAGGATGTAAACAATGTAATAAATGGTAGAAGGGTCATCAGATTCAATGAAATAAATGGTAAATAAATGAATAAAACAAGAAATAATATGAATAACCACACCCAACAAAATATGGTCTGACTAGCTGTATGGAAGTATAAATCCTATCTTTAAAATGGATATAAGGAGTATGTTTTTCAGCCCTGAGGCTTGAATTCAGGCCTAGGGAACAGGTCTGACTTTTGTCTTCAAGCATGTTCAGATTCCCTTCCGTCACGGTGCTGCATATTTACCCAGACCTTGAGTTCAAATCCCAGGCCTGGCAGAAAAAAATGTCATGAATTGCAAACCAGGGAGCTAAATATTTTTTTTTAATTGAGGGCTATTGGAGAAGCCATAGTCCCACACAGCAACATAGGCCTACAGTTTGAATACAGTCATGCCACTTCCAGATGGTGCGAGATCCTAAGAAATTCGTTCCCATCCACAGGAATAATGATGGAATATTATCACTGTCACAGTTGAATGACATGCTCCTGAATGATACTTGTACACAATTAGACTTCATGATTTCAGTCGGCTGATTGATTTTATTTAATATCTTATGAAACATTAAAAGAATATTATTTCTCACAGGGATGCAATAATTTCAGGACACTGATTTACTTAATACTTTATTAAAGATAAAAATAATAACATTTATTTATTTTTGTGGATCCTGGGGCCTGAAATCTGGGCCGGGTGCTCTTCAGCTCAAGGCTAATGCCCTATCCCATGGTTTCCCTTATTTGCAATAACTAATATATGTCTGAGTAAAGCAGAAAAGTTCAGATAAGGTGATATTAGGGAAATGAACCCTAAGATATGTACTCAAATGTTTTTTTTTGCTTTCATGCGATTGTTTCTAACACATTTATAAGATTGTTTCTTTGTTGCTTTGTATGTCCCTCCTCCACAGTATAACCCCTGCTTTCACTGTACTTGATGTCAGTATAATTTGTGGAGGGGAAGGAGAAAAACAAATCGTTTAAATAGGAATACAGGTGGACCCATTGCAACAAAGAGATGTACAAGTCGTGATGTTAAAAACTAACTTTACAACTTTGGTGAGGGGTGGGTGGGTGAGGGAGCAGGGAGGATTGGGTGGGGGGGCAGAGGGGAGGATGGGAAGGGATGGGAAGTGGAAACAAAGGAGGAGGCTACAATGCTTGA